TACTCCCACTATCCACCAAAATAGATACCTCCCAACCCTTAAATCTACCCATGACACGCATGGTTTGGGGTGACGTGAGTTCGGTGAGGGCCTGTAAGGAATTCTTGGGCAGGCCAAGCCCGAATATCATATCAAGGCTAGTTGGGCTGTCTTCTCCAAGACCTTCCACAGCTTGCTCTCCCTCTTCCGATCCATCTGTCTATAGCAAGAAAGCTTGTTGGGCCTTACATTGGTGACCTGGGCCGAACCATTCGTCATAGTTGTAACATAGGCCCTTGTACCTACGAGCCTGCATCTCGGCCCATGTCATCCTTTTGTATGGGACGTTGGGCTTGAAGCCTTGGTTCTCTAGTTTAGTGGGCCCGGTAATGATTGGGTCTGGGCCGCTTCTGTCTTCAGGGCCACACCCCATCATAGGTGTCTTCAAAAGGGGTCCTTGAGGTCGACTTAGTGGTCTTCAGAGTCTGCCGAATGTTTCTTTGTAAATCCTGGCCAGGCCTACAACAACCATGACCATCGGAGGTTGCATGGGTTTCACCTCCACTTGAATATCCTCCCTCAACCCTCCAATAAAACTGCCCAACAGGGCATTTTCCGGCCACCCTTGTACCTTGAGGATAAACACTCAAATTCCACATGATGTTCTCTTATTGTACCAGTCTGTCTTAACTTACAAAGTTGTTCATCATAGTTTTCGAATCCAGTGGGTCCAAATCGCACACAGAGCATCGGTGAAATCTGCTCAGGTCACTTGGGGATGTGACCGGCAAAACCACTGGAACTAGAGAATTGCTTCTCCTTCCACGGTACTCGAAGTACCTCTCAGCCCTATAAATCCACGGTATAGGGTCCTCACTTGAAAAGTTTGGGAAGGTGATTTTGGTCTGCCGCAACACTCCATTTCCTCCAGATCGCTTGCTGGGTTGGCTGCTACCTTCTCTTTCACCTTTCGTGTTCTCGTTCATAGTCGCCTTCTCCAGCTTGGCCAAGACTAGGGGTGTCCTCGGTTCGGTTAACTGAACCATGGGCATATTTGACAAACCGAACCAGTACCATCGGTTTTTGCATCAGTCCGAACCGAAATTGAACCGAAACAAGTGGGTAATTGGTTAACCGGTCTTCTGTTTTCGTTTTTTTATTTTTTTCATTTTTATTAAAAAAATGTTTAACCAAAAGAAGGAACCTTTCAGTGGTATCATTCGACATTCAGAGTTTGAGACATGAGACATTCATATTTTAAACAAATTTTATATCAATTATTTAACTATTTTAACTAAAAAATCATTTACATGCAAGTCTCACACTGTCGAAGTAGAATTGGCGACGACGATGACGAAGAAATAGAACCGGTGACGGGTGATGGCGACGATGACTGGAGAGGAGAAATAGTTCGGTTTTGTGATTCTGTCTGAGGAGAAGAAAGAAGACTAAAAGAGGCCACAACCCACAGGCGACAACGACGGGGGAGAAATAGAAAACCGCCGGACCGGACGATGGCGATGGCGATGACGACGGTGGAGAAGAAAGAAGAGGCGATGGAAGAGGAACGACGACTTACTTGCTAGGGTTTTTGGCGAGTGGCTTCTGTTCAAACAAGAAGAAAAAGAAAGAGGGGTTTTGTTTTGGGGTTTGAATGAATGAAAAAAATTCATTTTTTTGGGCTTGGGCCGAGAGAGAGGGTTAGAGGGGCGTTGGGGGTTGGGCTGGGCTGGGCTGGGCCGTTGGGGTGGGGAAATATAAAAAATATATATAATATATAAAAATCGGTCGGTTCAGTTAATTGCTGGTTTTTTGATAGGTTAGCTGAAAACTGAACCGATCCTTCGGTTTTTTAAAAAACCAAACCGAAACCGAATCAACTGGTTCGGTTAACGAGATTTTTTGGATTGGTTTCTTCGGTTCGGATCGGTTTTTCGGTTTCTTATGGACACCCCTAGCCAAGACCGCTGATAGAGCCACCTTGATCTCAGTGATATCTCCCAGTTTCTCAATACGATCATCACTTACGGATGCTCTCGTCCCCACCGTGGTGTCAACCCAAGATTGGGCTCTGATACCACTTGGTAGGGTTCTGCCTACCTCAGGAGCTTCTTCGAGGGAGCTCTGACCTCCTACAGAAGAAAAGACAAAAGAAGATGGTTTTTGGTGCTCAAAAAGGTAATCCCCTTTATTGCTATTCTGTTATTTATAGCCCATTACATCACATGGGGTATGCTTTCATTTGTAACTAACTGTTTGACGTGGTTCCCTCACGTAGGTCTTCGGATAAGGTTGTATGGGTATCATACTGCTGGGCCGATCAGTGGTAATGGGCCTAGCTGTGCCGTTATCAGTGATGTATGTAAATCAATCAATATTGTAGTTCAAGCATCCTTGAACTTGTTAGAAAAACTACACTAGAAACTACACCCCTGTGAACAAATTTCCTTAATTTTTCTGCTATTATTATATGAACTGTAGCCCCAAAACCATTTGTAAGAGAAGTTGCAAAGGGCTGTAACACCCATTTCAGCCCAAAAGCTATGCATTAAAACATCAATGGGCCCACCAAATTGTCCTAGCAATTCGGCTAGCCCTATACATTCGCTACTTGTGGCCTCAAATGAGCTTAGTGAGCGAGTCCAGGTACAACAATTTAAACTAAAATAATAATAGAAAGAAAGCATTGGTTGAAAGCAAATTGAATAATAAATCTGAAATCCTATTGATGTATCATTTCCGATCTAAATAAATAAAAAATGCATAACTAAAACTTTATATTAATGGACTTTGTCTATCCTCAACATAGCCTCCTACATCAAAGATGCCTAAGAAATTTTGACATCTAGAAATAGTGAATAGAATAAACAAATTAATTAACATCAAATCAAGAACAATACAGAGAAACAATCACTTGTAAATACATCTCCAAATCAGGCCTTGTTTTGGAATAGACATCACCAAACCATTAATCTCTATTAAAAATAGAACTAATGATACACTCAAACCAATAATGAATATAAAAAGGAAATCTCTTTCTATTCAATCCAATCATCATCCAAGAAATGGCCTGCTAGTACTTTCTTTGATACCATTATTGGGTTGATTGAATGCCAACTCATTTACAAAAATCCAATAAAATGATTATTTTTCTAATCATACCTATAACAGCCATTGCCATTGATTGATTTGTAGCTTTATTCTTTACCAAATATACTTAGAATGGATCGACCAACAACCTTGATTGGTCCTCCTTAGCTTTAAATTTCTATCATGAAATCTCACTCAAGACTTGTTCAATTCTCCTCTTTATCTCCTCTTTATTAATTTTCTTTCTCTAGTATTTGATTAGATAGCTAGAATTTAGTCTCCCTCTCTGGACAGTTTTCTTTCTTTCTTTCTTCTTTCAAGAGTGAGTATGATAGTAGTAGAGTAAATGGGGTTTCTCTACTCCAAGACATTAAAAGGGAGGGGCCCTATCCGCCCTACACAAGTATTAATCAAAGAGAATCACACCCCTCCCCACCTTACTTCAATCACTCCCCTATTTTCTCTTATCCATATCTCTAATTTAAAATTCAAATTGGAGTTAGAGAACAACTAGGAGAGATGAGAGAGATTTTAAGGCCTGTCATCCTTGACTCAACAGAATGGGAGTCCTAACTATGAGGGACCCTCAATGACCACAACGTAGGGTCATAATTGTTGGTCCTTATGAGTCCCAAACTAACATTAATGGCATTGGAGATATTTTTCCACACTTATGTTCTAACTTTTCTGTCTTATATTTCTTCGCTAATCTTATGTTGCACGAGTGTACATGGAAGTGTCAATATTTCCCGCCTCACATTTCTCACATAGATACCCTATTGAATTATTGAAGTTCTAAAGAAAAAACAAATAAATATCAGGGTAGATTTCACAATGTGTGGTTGACAATAGGAAACTTTAAACTGCTCAAAGGTTTGTCTTTGCCTAGGCCCCAAGCACTGCACGTTCAAAAGGCGTGCGCTTGGTGTGCCCTTGTGCTTCAGCCCATGCATGCATCTTTTTGAAATTTGCACATTTAGCTTTCTCGTTTTCTTGTTTTCTTATTTTTTGTTAATGCCTAGCAGCTGGGCTGTGGGGGCTCTGCCCCCTAACTCCCAACCAAGGCCAAGCCCAAACAAGTTCATGTTAGGGATCCCTATTTTAATTTGAGCTAATAGGCTTTTCAAAAATTATTTTAAAATGAAGATTTGATTTATTAATTAATACTATTTTTAATATTTTTAAATTTATTTTGAATTTTTACATTTTTTATTTTTGTAAAATTTGTGCCTTGCTTCAGAAATGTGCGTGCCTCACCTTGCGCCTTGCACTTTTGGTGCAAAAAATTGCCTTTGCACTTTTTTTTGCGCATTGCATTTTTAGAACACTGAAAGTTACAACTTATCATTTTTAAGTAACTTCAAATGATTATTATTATTTTTTCATTGTAATATCTTGTTATTTAGCCCTTGTTATTATAGTATGTATCTAGTTGATGCCTGATGTACAAAGGTTTTGACATAGGGTTGTTCAATAATCATAAATATTCAGTTGCGTTCCGAATCCTACTTGGGAAAGATATAATAAAAAATGGAAAGAAAGTGAAGATGCCCAACTCTCCAACTAAGGGAGGTGTCTTGTAGTCTTCTAACTATAGAGCTCTGTGCAAGTGACCCCCGACTCCCTTTGCAAAATAAATGAGTAAAAAATTAAATAAATAAATCGATAAGTAATAAAAGTAAAAATAAGGAAAAATGAAACAGAATAAAAGAGTGAAATATAAGCCTCTAGCACAACTCTTGGGTTCTAATTCAAACTTCCCAAAAGTTTTTTTCCCGTCCAGGGCTTATTACAGTTTATTCTCTCATTTTGGTGCATGGACAAAATTAAATGGCTAATTCACATTTATTTTTATGCTTTTGAAGGATCTTGACATCTTCTGTATCTTGTAATGATGATAGTTTTGTCTTTTTATGTTGATGGCTTTACAGTGATGAAAAACCCAGCTAATTTGGCAAAGCACCAGGCAAACCCCAAGGTGGCTCCGATCATAGCAAAGATGATGAGCGGATTTGCAGGACCCAAATAGTCAATGTTGGAGGGTGAGGTAATATCCATAGCCATGGGGTCTTTGAGCCATCACCTGATTATAATCCTGTGCATAACTCCATCTCACATGTTTTTGTTATAGATTGGGAAAAAACCTTATTTTCATGTAAGAATAGCAGAACCCCAATTTTGACATTTAACTGAATAATATATTTATATATTTCTGATGTAATGATTGAAGTGTCTATCTGTGCTTGTGGTTTTATTTTAGGGGTTTTTACCATTCAGTCCACCCCTAGCTGGAGCTAGGATTTCTAGGGGTGGACTGGAATCCTGCACGTGGATTGATGCCGGATTCACGGATAGGATGCGGTTTATAGGGGAGGGGCTACTAGTAGACTAGGAGGGGACTGCAAATCCCATTTCTGAGGGGGATTGCAGTCCAAAAATCCCTTTATTTTACTTGATAAAGGAATGCTCCTTGCAGGACCTTGAATTCCAGTTTTGCTTTCATTTTACTTGCTCTTTGTACTGGTTTAGCTCTTTGTGTTTTGGGGGAAAAGGATCAGGGAAGACCGGAAGTACATTCCTTCCGTTAAAAAAAGAACTCAAGAAGACAAGGCAAGAGACATCCTCCTTTATTTTCCTTTTCCTCCCTGGCTTAATTTTTAGATTCATTTGCTACTGCCTTTTTTCCCCCTTTTTGATTGGTGTATATTTTTCGAGGTGCATGGCGTTATTCAGACCGCGGGAAGGTCTGAAGTTTGAACTGCGGTCAGTGGGCATCTGAGTAAATTCGCTAACTAGGCCATTTTCCGAATGACTAGGTAATTTGGACTACAAGTAAATTTACTGACCGAGGTAGGGTGGGGAATCTGAACTGTCTCAGTTACTTCCCCACGTGTATTGGAATGATATGGGTGCGTTTCAGCCTGTATTGTATTGTATCGGTTAATATGCACTAATACCAATGGTGTGATTTGAACTCGAAATACCGTGCCCATGGCATCGAAAGTCTTAAACCCACCTTCAAACCACTAAGCCATGTCATGTGTTGTGATATTTAAGGAAATAACATAATTTTTATTAATGTCTATCTAAATAAATAATCAATATGGGAAAATCTATGATGCGACGATATGGTATGGAAATAATTTTAACCAATTAAAACTAGCTCATGAATTTTGATAAATAACACCATGTTCATTATCACGTTTGTGATTCTGGTTTATTGGTTTTTTAGATATCATATCTTTTCTATATCATAGTTGAACCCAATTAATATTTACGTTTATCAAATCCAACTAAAAACTAAAATGAATAAGATTTAAAATTAGTATTTTATAAACAAATGGAATAAATAATCTAGCAATTTTATATTTACATCAAAAGATGATTTTAATCTTAATAAATTTATACAAATAAAATATTAATAGTAGAATAGTTACCTTACTACTTAAAATTTATTAATTTGCACATGATATATATTTCACAAATTTTATATATTTTTATAATTATTAATTAATATTTTAATTTACATTAAATGATAATATGTTTATTATTTACAAAAAATAAAAAAATGTTTATAAGATATTCAAGAATATAATATTAATTTGAATCTATCAAATCCACAAATTTACATTTATATAAAAATGATTTTTAATTAAAAAAATAAAAATTTTAATAATGAAATAACTGTTTTAATAATTAAAAATTATGAATTTGCATACGATATGTATTTTAGAAATTTTAACTGATTTGATATACTTAAAGTTAAAATTATGTATTTTTATAAATTATTAAATGATAATTTAATTTATATTTGGGAATTTTATATTTATCTAACTTTTTTTTGTTAATATTACAAAGTAAAAATAATAAAATAGAGAATAATTGATATAATAATTAGGATAAATATGATAGGTCCATCTTGGGCTTTTAATTAATGCATTGTATGATATCTGTGCATTCTGCTATATTAATTATAATATCTTTTTATGTATAGCATTAAGTATATATTTCTTGTATATTTATACATTATTTATGGTTATTTGATCATAAATTTGGTGTTATTGATGTATTTATGAAATTTGCATGTGTTTCCCTAGTGTAGCCAAGTGTTTCCATATTTTTTGTCGATATCCATGTGTTTTCAAAGCGTATTTATATCCGTATCCGTATCCGTATTTGAATCCAAGTTATCTGATATGATACTTGATACCGATACTTTAATCCTTGGTTTTACTCTCATTTTGATACGAGTAATAGAGTGCTGCTGCATGTAGATAGTGGCTTTTTAAGAGGAAGGGGCTCTGAAATGGATAAAACTAGGGGTATTTATGGTTCGATTTGTTGGGGTCTCACAACAATCACCCACAATAAAAAACGACAAGTATTTGAAATAACAACCAATTGATAGGGGTGCAAATGGATTGGATCATGATCTGATCCGATTTGAAACTCGATCCAATTTGGTCGAATTCGGATCGCTCTTGCTTGGGTTTTCGGATCAGATCGGATCCTATGATCTGATTGGATTCAGATCACCCCTTATCCGATATGAGAAGGTATAAATATATATTTGTTTATTTATAAATATTATATTTTTATAAATTTGTTATATTATTTATTTTTGTTTATAAAAAACATGTATATATGATGAAAATCATTAAAAATACTTGTATTTTTTGTTTTTTCTTTATTTAAATTGGTATATTTTATTTTATTCTTAATAATTTATTAATTTTTAAAGAAAGCAAATCGGATCAAATCAGATCCGAAAATCCAATAGGATTCGAATTCAGATCGAGTCCTATAAGATTTGATTCGATCGGATCCGACATGAACATTGTCGAATTGGATTCAAATATACCCTGATTTGAATTCGATCAGATTTGTTTGCATCCCTACCAAGAGAATCTAATAGCAACGAAAATAACGAAATCTAAGCAAAGACAAATAAGAATAAGCACCATCAAGAGCATCGAATTTAGGTGATTTGGCCTTGCTGCCTATGTCCATGGGAGATGAAAATTATACTCACTATAAAAGAAAATGTGAAACAATATAGGTGCCTTGTGGTTTGCGGCTCAAACCAACTCTTAACCCTTATACACTCATTCTCTCTTTCCTTTTTTCATTCCAAAGAAAAAAACAAGAGAAAAACTCTATTGTTACATCAAGAGCGTGCATTCTCTCTTTTATCCCAAGAACAACCAACCCTTAACCCTTATTTGATTACAATAGTCCAACTTACCTGGGTAAGAATATTTACTTGGAAGTGCACTTACCCATTTTCTTTTGATTTATAGGATTCTCCGGTAGATAACAGAATGACATTTTTACCCATAAAAAGTTAGTATTAAAATAGGCAAAATGGTCTCATTATGTTTTATAAAAGTTTTTCCCATGTAGGAAAATTGCTTATCCACCTAGGAGATGGTTAAGTTTTAGCCAGGAAAGTAAATATGATTTTACCATGGGGCCCGTTGCTTAATGTAAATAGAACATGGTAAAGTTGATCAATGGTAAAACGATCGATACCCACTGACCAACTTTCCTATGCATATTTACTAGTAAGCAAACAGGGCCTTATATGTAAAATCCTCTTTAACTTAAAGAGGGACGTTGGTAGATTAAAAATAATCCAACGGTTGAAAAGTAAGGCACAACCCCAACACAATTTGGTGTGGTTTAGAGTAAATCTTAGACTTGGTAAAATATGGCCTGAGAATTTCTTAGATCAAACCAAATTATTTTATTACGGTTTTGTGCAATTGGCCATTCTATTCGGTTTAACCCAATTAGAAAGCCCTAACAACATATGATGCCCAAACAAATACTTCATGTTTACCAAGTAATAGAGTGGTGCTTTAAGAGGAAGGGGTCTGAAATGGGTAAAACTAGGGGTGTTTATGGTTCAGTTTGGTAAGGTTTAGAGTAAATCGTAGTCCAAATCGGTAAAATTTCTCAGGTCAAACCAAATTATTTTATTACGGTTTTGTGCAATTCGTCATTCTATTGGGCTTAACCCAGAAAGCCCAAAATAACATATATTCTTGCATAAATAACAAATATTATCTATTAATCACTATAAAAGCATTGAGTAATTGTAATTGGTATGCTATGTAATCGTTTTTCAGTCTACAATTTGGTTTGGTTTTTAAAATTCAGGAAACTGAACTAAATCGTTCTAAATGTAGATCAAACTGAATTACAAATTATTCGGTTCAGTTTTGTGGTTTGAACCGTTTAATGAATACCCGTAGATAAAACCCCCACTTTGAGACTATATAACTCAATTCTTGTATGCCCCCCCCACAGAAAACTCAATTCTTTTTTTTTTTTTATAATAAAAGTAAGGGGGCTACACAAGATGGGGAGTAGCACGTCCCCACAATATCACCCGGCAAGTGGGCTTCATGAGCATGGTGAGCGAGCCAATAAGCGGCCTAATTTGCTTCTCGATATACATGCTTGTAGATGATCCCCTTTCCGCACCTCTCCATGAGCTCCCAGCAGTCTTGAATTGTACTCAGATTCCACACGCACGAATTGAATTTGTTAAGACAAGAAATCACAATCTTAGAATCACTCTCAATTGTGATAGGAAAGTTGAGAAGTTCAAAGCTAAATTATGGGCTTTCCAGGCAGCCCAAGCTTCCGCCCGAGGTAAAGCCCAATTTATAATTAAGCCTGGAGCCCTGGACAATGTATGAGGCCCTCGACATCATAACATCGGCAATATTAAGGTGATACAAATTTGATCCGTTTATAATTGGATCAAACATAGATCCACCCCATCCGACTTGATATAATCTTATTGCATACTACTTAAATATATCTACTGGTAATGTTGACTTGATGTTGTGTTTGAATGCTTTTCAAAAAAAAAAAAAATGGTGCGTTTTTATTAAATTTTCATAGTTTTAAGTTTTATATAAAATATAATATTTTGATATTTTTTAATTTAATTTAGTTATACTATTTAACTATTCAATATCCTATTGTAATTTGAATTCAATTCAAACCCACCGTAACCCGGATGGTAGGGGTGCAATGGGATCGGATTTTGATCTGATCCGATCCGAGACCCAATCCTATTTTGTTAGATTCGGATCTCTCATGTTTGGATCTTTGGATCATATCGGATCACCCCTATCTGATTTGAGAAAATCCGATCCGATATATATGTTATTTATTTATTTATATAAATATATATAACACATATATGTTATTTATTTATTTATATTACATTTTTGTAGATTTGTTATATTAATTATTTTTTATAAAAGACATGTATATATATGACGAAAAATAGTTGAAAAGATGCTTGTATTTTTGTTTTTGTTTTTCTAAATCATTATATTTTATTTTTCTTTTAATAATTTATTAATTTTTTAAGAAATTTAAATCGGATCGGATCAGATATAAAAATCCAACATCTTCATCGGATTCAAATTCAAATCCATACTTATGAGATCCAATCGGATTAGATCGAATTGGCTCTTAACATTGATTCAGATTTAGATATACCCTGATTCAAATCCGATACAATCCATTTACATTCCTTTCGAATGGATTAATTATCATTCAAATTTGAGTATAAATGAATCAAGTTAGGATCTGCTTATATACAAGGTTCAAAGTATCGGCCCGTATTGGCCGATACGTATTGTTCCGACACCCCTCCGATACACCCCTATTGGTCTAATCGATTCAGGGTGTGGCGAAGACCTAAACCGGCTCCCCTGAAGGGTCTGAACCAGTGGCAAAAAAGAAAAACCATCAAAAGGAGAATCGATTTGCTCGATACGCCCATATGGCATATCGGACGTATCGATATTTTGAACCTTATGTATAATCCAATCGATCCATTTGCAGCACTTGTCAAAATAGAAGCCCACGTTGAGGGAAAAGCTTTAAATACAAGACGGTGACACCAATTTTTGAATCATAAAATTCTTGTGAAAAGGGTTAGGTGGTGGTGTTT